TCTGTCATATAAATCTGACACACCCCCATAGGCAAAGTGGGGGAGAACAAGGGGTCACAAGACCAGTCAAGCAAAGCAAAGCAAGCTCAGGGTGGATCACAAAGTCACCACACATTCCGAGCACAGGTTCAAGGCCACAAGGCCAGTTCACATGCAGGATTACATATATATATAAGGCTAGACAAGCAAGAGCAGGTGTATATATATATATGCAACAGTACAAACAAGGTCAAGGGGTGAGCAAGTGAGGCAAGGTAGGCACAAGGCCCAGCTGAGTACGGAAACGCTGATGATCACAAGGCGCAAGTGCCTTGGTGAAGATATCAGCAGTGTTGGCCTGAGAGGCCACGTACGCAAGCCGCAGCTGACCACGCTGCTGTAGCTCACGAGCAAGGAAGTAGCGGAGAGCAATGTGCTTCGTTCTGTGCTCCAGTCTCTGCTCTCGACACAAGGCCAGCATGGCCTTGTTGTCTACGTACAGCACTGGAGGAGAACGAGGCGGCTCTCCGAGGTCAGTCAGCAGGTAGGTGAGCCAGCGAAGCTCCTGTGCAGCCATGGCCCCGGCGTAGATCTCAGCCTCACAACTGGAGCCGAGAACAGAAGACGAGCGGGTAGCCCGCCACGAAACAGAGCCGGAACCAAGGCTGAAGGTGTAACCCTGTGACGACCGCTGCGTAGCCTGGTCGTCAGCCCAAGAAGCGTCTGCGTGCCCAGTGAGGACCACTGGACTCTGCCCTCCAAGCACAAGCCCCATGATCGACGTACTGCACAAGTAACGCAACACCCTCTTCGCTGCAGCCATGTGCTCCGGTCTGTGTCTCCCAGGAGCAACATAGCGTGCGAGAATGCTAAGAGGGTATGCGAGGTCAGGTCGTGTGCAGGTCATCAGGTACATGAGGCAGCCAACAAGCTCTGGGTACGGGCCACTCGACTCTACGGACTCATCCGAAGGCAGAGCTGAGAGCGAGTGGCGAGTAGGCAGAGGAGTGGCCTGAGGCGAGGAGTACGTGAAGCCGAAGCGCTGAAGGACTTGCTGCACCATGTGTGACTGAGTCAGGGTAATGGTGCGGCGTGCTCTGTCCCGGGTGATCTGCAAGCCAAGGTAGCTGCGCAGTTCACCCAGGTCTGTGCACGTGTGTCTCTTCTGCAGCTCGGACTTCACGTGGGCGAGTCCAGCAGTGTCAGCTGTGGCAAAGACCAAGTCGTCGACGTACACGAGGATGTAGAACGGCGGCAAAGAAGTGTCGGTGCGCAGAAACAGCGACGGGTCGGCAGTAGAGGGAGCAAACCCAAGAGCCGCAAGTGTAGTCCTCAGTGTGTCGTGCCACTCACGCGGTGCCTGGCGGAGACCGTAGACTGGCCGCCGGAGGCTCCACTGGGTGCCAGGAGGAAAAGACCCAGTGAAGCCAGGTGGGCGACGCAGCCAGATCTCCTCGTGCAGGCTGCCCTGCAAGAAAGCAGTGCTGAAGTCAAGAGAGTGCAGCTCGTAGTCGCGGTGAGCAGCTATGTGCAGCAGTACCCGAAGAGTGGTCATCTTCGGGGTGGGAGAGAAGGTCTGAAAGTAGTCAACTCCCTGCCGCTGACTGAAGCCACGAGCCACGTAACGCGCCTTGAAGACAGGCGGAGAACCCGGCGGCCGCTTCACCCTGAAAATCCACATGCCACTGACGATGTTCGCCCCAGGCGGGGGAACCTCGTCAACGTAGGTGCCTGTGGACTTCCAGGAAGCCATCTCTGTGTCCATAGCTGCCTGCCACTGAGAGGAGTAGGGACCCTCTATCGCCTCCGCGTAAGAGCGCGGAGTCGGGATGTCAAGTGCATCCGGGTCTCCCTCAGGGGTAAGCAGTACGGACACGAGATGAGGTGAAGCAGCAGCCAAACACTGGAACTCCTCCTGCCTGTCCTCAAGGACGTCCGTGCCAAGGGCACACTCACCCCCGACGGACGGAGGACAGACAGACTCAGACTCAGCGACAAGACAAGCAGCGTAGTCTAGACGACAGCGAGCAGCAAAGTCGACGAGCTCAGCAACTAGGGCAGACGCAGCAGTGGACGCAAAGGAAGGGTCAGTGACGACAGTAGCAAGGAGACGCGTGACAGTAGGACTGGCAGCACGAAGAGAGTCCGACTCCGGGTCGGGAAGAGCAGGAAGAGAGGACTCAGGAGGAGAAGGCAAAGGGGCACGCAGAGGAGCAGTGGACGGACGCAGAGACATCCGGTGCGTGCCAGGGACAGGAGGAGGACGCTGACGCGAACCACGACCACTAGCGCGAGCAGTACGGACAGGCGACGCAGGACGCGACGCAGGCTCACGACGCTCAGCAAGACCTCCAGTAGGACCAGTGTAGGGAGAAGGAGCGGGCAGTGGGGAGGCCGGCTGTAACTGTAACTGTGACAGGACAGGCTGTGGACACTCTAAGGGAGGAGGAGGACCAGTAGAAGGCGGGAGACCAAGAACCTGCTGAAGGAGCGGAACGAAGTACGGCCGAGGCCGCGCGGCGACTCCAGACACAGCAGGGACAGCACCAGTACCCCCAGCGGCAGCACCAGCGCCAGCAGCACCTCCAGCTCCAGTACCTCCAGCAGCACCAGTAGCACCCCCAGCAGAACCGCCTCCAGGACCGACAGCAGTAGCCTCAGCGTCAACACCCTCCGCAGCTCCAGCTCCAGTCGTACCCGTAGGCCCAGCAGCTCCAGTACTCCCAGTACGAGCACCTCCGGGACCCGCGGCACCAGCACCCTCAGTAGCCGAAGAACCTCTAGCACCAGCAGCACGCCTCCAGCGCTGGGCAAACCACTCGCGCAGCTCCTGTGGAGAGAGTGGCTCCCGCCGAGACGAAGCACCCGGAGAACCTCCAGGCTCAGCACCGCCAGACGCCACACAAGCAGGCCCAGCTCCCTCAGGCTCCGCACCCCCAGGCTCAGCACCTCCAGTAGTAGCACCCTCAGGCTCAGCACCCCCAGGCGTAGCACCCACACGCTCAGCACCCCCAGCGTCAGCACCCCCAGGCTCAGCACCCTCAGCAGCACCAGAGTCACCAGTAACCTCGACAGGCTCGACTGCGTCTACCTGGGACACACCTGAAGGGGCAGGACCCTGAGGGGGGAGGGGGTCTACCGGGGGGGGACCTGGCACAAGGAAGAGCGGTGGTGGGGGGAGGGACGGAGTGCGGTAGGGGAAGAGGCGGTAGTAGGGGACCGACTCGTCAAACGTGACGTCCTGGGAGGACAAAACACGGCGAGAGGTGGGGTGGTAGAACTGCCACCCTGGCGCGTCAGGGGGGAAGCCAAGGAAGACGCAAGGAGCAGCACGAGGGGACAGCTTGTCCGCAGACAAGTCGCGGACAAACGCCCGAGATCCCCAGACACGGAACGCAGACGCATCGCCAACCTTCCCCGTCCACAGCAAAGCTGGGGAGGTCTCCGGCCTGGAGACCCGAGGGTGAAGGTTGATCTGATGCGCCGCGTACCGAACCGCAAACGGCCACAGAAAATGGGGGGCAGCCGCATGCATCATGGACGTACGGGCGACGTCCATGACCATGCCAATGCGGCGCTCATCAATCCCATTTTGCTGTGGAGAGTCCGGAAGCGTGAAGGTCTGGCGGATGCCTCGCGCACGACAGTAGGCTCGCAGAAGGCCAGAGGAGAACTCTCCACCTCTGTCAGAGTGCAGACGCAGAACAGGAAAGTCCGAGCCGAAGCTCTGCCTGAGCTGGAGACGAGCTGCGCGGATCCAGTCGATCAACACCTCAGTGACATCACCCTTGCTGCGCAAGGGGAAGACTGTGGTGTAACGCGAGTAGTCGTCAACCACCAGCAGGAAGTAGCGCTCGTGACCCTGTCCACGGACGCGGGCCGGGCCCCACACGTCCATGTGAAGCGTCTGCAGCGGGGCCTCTGTCGGAGGAAACTGGGAGGAGTGAGGGGCAGCCCGCTGCCGCCCCTCGACACAGGGGACGCAGGTAGGGCCAGGCCCCGGAGGAAGGGGAGGGAGGGACCGGGGAAGACCAGAGACAAGGACACGGGAGGCCATGCCTCGGAGACGAAGCAGGGAGGGGTGACCAAGGCGGTGGTGCCAGAGGAGAGTCTCGTGAGACAGGAGGCGACACGAACAGGGGGCAGACTCAGGACCAGACCTGGACGCTGCAGCAAACACCTGACCCGACGCAGCTACCTGACCAGACGCAGTGACTGGAGGAGACGCAATGGTCAGGGTGTACAGGCTCGACCCCGGCCGACGGGTAAACGTGGCCAGGTGTCGGCCAGTCCGAGCGTCCGTGCAGTGGGTCACCCGCTGACTCGCAGGAGTGAACTGGTGAACCCCCGCATCCTGTAGGTCAGCACCACTCACCAAGTTCGTAGAGAACGAGGGGAGGTAAAGACCAGACAGGGTGCCAGAGGGGGCCGCCGGACACGGGAGGACAGTGGAGAAGTGAGCAAGGACAGGACCCCCAGAGGGGTCTGCCAGAGAGACTGCAACTGGCCGGCCAAGCGGCGTGAGTGTGGTGCGGTCTCGAAAGAAGGAGCGAGAAGCCCCCGAGTCAAGGGTGAAGGTGTGGGAGGCCGAAGCCGACGCAGTACCTGAGAGAGCAGACTCACCAGCACCTGAGTGAGCAGACGCATGAGCACCTAGAGCAGCAGCCTCGCTAGCACCTAGAGCAGCAGCCTCACCAGTACCTAGAGCAGCAGTCTCAATGCCCGGGTCGGGCGGAAAACACCGGTAACAGTCACCCTCATCACTAATAGTCACAGTATACATAGCAGCAAGAATAGCATCAAAGTCAAGGTCAAAGACAGCGACACCCGCCCTAGACAGCTCACCCCAGCGGGGGATCTCAGTGGCCTCAGGGAACTGGTGACGCCAAGCGTCCGTCAGGCGGCCAAAGCAGCGCTGGGTGGAGTGCGCCCCCCCGCACTGGTCACCCGCGCGGTCGCCGGTGCGGAGGACGTAGGTGCACGGACCAGTACCCCCACCCCGCTGGCGTGCAGCGTACCACTCACGGAGCTGCTGAGGGGGGGGGGATGTCACGAGTGCGCTGCTGCTGCTGCTGCTGCTGCTGGCGCTGACCACCACCGGAGCCAACCCTCTGCGCAGCGCCACCCCGACCAGCTCCACCTCCTCCGCCGCCGCCTCCTCCACCGCCGCTACCTCCGCTCCCACCGCCACCGCCGCCGCCGCCTCCGCCTCCACCGCCGCCACCGACACCTCCACCCCCACCACCACCCCCACCGCCACCCCCACCCCCTCCACTGCCTCCACCGCCGCCTCCACCGCCCCCGCTAGCTCCTCCAGTGCCCCTGCCCCCCTTGCCCTTGCCAGGGCGGCGTCTCCCGCTAGGGGTAGACGCCGCACCGACCGACTCAAGCCCAACGAGGTCGGCCGCAGCAGCAGAGGCAACAGATGGCAAAAGGGGGGAGGGGGAACACCCCTCAAAGATGGGGGTGCGAGGGTCACCACGAGAGGCTCCTACAGCGACTATGCTCTTCTCTGCTGCTAGGAGGGACTGCTCGAGGAGGTCAACGGTGAGAGTGGTGGGGCAAACTGAGAGGAAGTGGTCCCTGACTACGCGAAGGGAGTCAGGGAGCCGGGTGACTATGTAGTAGAGGGTGATGTACATGGGGGGGGGGTTCTTGGCGCAGAACTCAGCAGGAAGCGCAGCGCGGTAGCGAGTGTCACTAGTGCGGAGGTGCGTAATGAGGTCAGCGACTGTGGGAAAGGCAGCAAGGTCAGGGAAGAGGTACGGTAGCATGAGGCGGCTCAGTGCAGCAGTGGCAGGGGAGGAGTAGCGCGCAACTACAGCGTCGTACAAGGTGTGAGCACTCTTGTACTGGCTAAAGTGCGCACGCTCAGAGGTAGGCAGGTGGCGACGCACAGCAAGACGTGCAGCAGCATCGCGCGTGGCCCACTGTGAGCGAACAGTGGCGTCAGCATCAGCAGCGGGGGCAGGGGAGGCACCAGAAGTGAGGTCAAAGAGGGAGAGGCCGTCTGCTCTGTCGCACTGTAAGAAAAGCTGCAGGTCATCTATCCAGACGTCAAAGTCAATGGCCCGACCCTCAGCATCAAAAGCGAGGACACTAGGGGTAGCCATGACAGCAGTAGACTAGCAGCGCAAACAGTAGGGTGAGGGCAGTGCTGTGAAAGAGGCGCTGCTCTTACCGGACAGGGCGGCTCGGGTGGCTCGGTTGCAGGGCGGCTCGGCGGCTCGGCTGCTGGGCGGCTCGGCGGCTCGGCTGCAGGGCGGCTCGGCGGCGCGGCTGCTGGGCGGCTCGGCGGCTCGGCTGCTGGGCGGCTCGGCGGCTCGGCTGCTGGGCGGCTCGGCTTCTGGGCGGCTCGGCTTCTGGGCGGCTCGGCTGCCGGGCGGCTCGGCGGCTGGGCGGCTCGGCTGCTTGGCGGCGCGGCGGGGCCGCTGAGAGGGCGGCGCCCGGGGCCGCTGGGAGGAGGCGGCGAGGCCGCTGAGAGGAGGCGGCGGGGCCGCAGGTAGGTGGCGGGGCCGCTAGTAGGTGGCGGGGCCGTCGGTAGGTGGCGGGGCCGCTGGTAGGTGGCGGGGCCAGCACAGGTAGGTGGCGGGGCCGCGGGTAGGTGGCGGGGCCGCTGGTAGGTGGCGGGGCCGCAGGTAGGTGGCGGGGCCGCTAGGAGGTGGCGGGGCCGCAGGTAGGTGGCGGGGCCGCAGGTAGGTGGCGGGGCCGCTAGTAGGTGGCGGGGCCGCAGGTAGGTGGCGGGGCCGCTAGTAGGTGGCGGGGCCGCAGGTAGGTGGCGGGGCCGCACAGGTAGGTGGTGGGGCCGCACAGGTAGGTGGCGGGGCCGCGGAGGGCGGCGACGAGCCGTAGGGGGCCGTGAGGGGCCGCGCGAGGGGCCGTAAGGGGCGTAAGGGGCCGTGCGAGGGGCCGTAAGGGACGGCGCGAGGGGCCGTAAGGGGCGGCACGAGGGGCCGTAAGGGCGGCGCGACGGGCGCGACGGGCCGTAAGGGCGGCACGAAGGGCCGTAAGGGGCGGCGCGACGAGCCGTGAGGGGGCCGCTAAGGGCGACGCGACGGGGCCGTGAGGGGCCTAGCGAGGGCGCGACGGTAGGGGGGGAGCACCCAGGGCGCGACTCGGGCCTGAGCGAAGCGCGCTCCGGGCAGGAAAAAAAAATTTCGTGGTGGTGGGCCCTAGGAATCGTTCCCACTAGGGAACCTGCTCGATACCATGAGAAGAAACGAGGAATGGGAAATGACTAAGGGAAAGTTGGGTACAAAATGCAAACCCTAGAAAACTGTACCCCATATGTGCTACCCCACTATAGCCTACAGTGGCTCTGTCATATAAATCTGACATGACCGTACGCATTTTTTTTTTACCATTCACGTTATCGAGTTCCAAGTTGGTTACTTGTGGCATATTTTTCCTTTAGGGTCACAGCTACTTCGCAGAATGTAAACGGTATCAACTAACACATATACAGAACACATCTCACATAGCACATCATTGCAAATGACGGTTCCAATGTTGAAGCAAATTGTTGGGCTGAGAAATAGCCCTTAGGATCTTTCAAGGCTAAGACTTTGTTGAAGTAGTGATGTTGTAGTTGCGGAAGCGTAATAGTAGTATTAACTTGAACCACCTTGCACTGGTATGTGAGAACAAGATTAGTTGATAATAGCATGGGCATACAAGGCTTTTATATGATTACAAAGGAATATGGAACGTTCTATTTTAACTGTTTCTGCTGTTGCGGTTCGATACAGTGACGACTCGGGTAATTGCTCAGTATGGAGTCAATTATGTGTCCTTGCTGTCGCACAGCATTTTTCGTCAGGTCAAAGGTCAGTGAGCTTTGACCTTCGCGTAACCTCCAGCGTTTGTCTTTAGTTGACTCGCGTGTTGTTTCACTTGTAGTCTGCTTCGTTTCGTGTCGATGCTTCGATTACTTCAGAAACGTTTAAGTTATTTGTTTCCAACACTCCCCTTCGCTTCTAGAGTGTCGCTACTGATGACGTGTCCTTGTCCAGTCAGCAGCATGCAGTAGTCGAACTTCTGTTTTCCGAGTTTCTTGGTTAGGTAATCGGCTGCCATCTCGGATGTGGGGCAGTAGGATAACTCGAGTCTTCCCTTCTCGATTTCGTCTTTTACGAAGAAGTACCGGAGGGCGATGTGCTTCGTTCGGTTCGCGAACCCATTTTTGTTCGCTATGCGAATGGCCGATTGATTGTCGCAGAAGAGAGAGAAGCTGGGTAACTGAGCCAATTTTGCTTCTTCCAGCAATTCGCGAAGATATAGTCCTTCCTTGGTGGCTGAGCAGAGTGCGATGTATTCTGCTTCAGCTGAGGAGAGAGCAATTAGCTCTTGCTTGTTCGACTGCCATGAGATAGGGCCGATAGGTTCGAGTCGGTAGATGTAGCCAGTTCGAGATCGTCTGTTGTCGGAGTCTCCAGCGTGATCGGCGTCGACGTAACCGATTAACTTAGGTGTCGTAGTTCGGGTCTTGTGGTAGGTTAATCCGGTCGTCGGGGTGCTGACGAGGTTGTGAAGTGCACGGTCGAGCTCCAGCATGTGCTCTGCTTCAGGCTTCTTGAGGTAGGTAGCAAGTTGACTAGCTGAGTAAGATAGATCCGGTCGGCAGGTGACGGCTGCGAAGAGTAGACAGCCTAACTTCCGTTGGTAGTCGCGAATGCCGACGGGTTTGAGTAGGGCGGAGACTTTGCGATTTCCGTCGGTGTAGCGGTATGGCGTGGTGATGGTAGTTGGAGTGAGTCCGAATCGTTTAGCGATGGTGTCCGTGTAATTTTCGGCATTGAGGTAGATTGAGTTGTCGCCGTCTTGTATGTTGAGTCCCAAGTACTGTGTCACGGTAGTCGCGACGGTGAGTGTGATATCCCGCTGTAGCTCCCCTTCAAACCAGGTCGTTATGGTGTCGATGGAGCCTATGTAGAGGAGGTCGTATACGTAGACGATGAGTAGGATATAATCAGTACCCTTCGTGAGTCGGTACATCCCTTGGTCGTGCGGTAGTTGGAGGAATCCGATGCGGATTAGGCGGGCGTGAAGATGCTGCTGCCACAGTCTCGGGGCTTGTTTGATGCCGTACAGTGACTTTTCCAGCTGACAGACTTGGTTGGGGTCTGCGTTAGACCCGTGTGGGAGTTCGACGAAGATCTCAGCATCGACGGGGGCGTAGAGGAATGCATTGGCGACATCGATTCGTCGAAGTTTCTTCCGGTTCATGGCGGCTATCGCGAGGAGAATCCGCAGTGAGGTATGTCGGCTTACTGGTGCAAATGTTTCCGTGAAGTCTCGTCCTTGCTCTTGGTCGAAGCCACGCACGACCCAGCGTGCTTTGAATTTGTCGATTGTTCCGTCGGCTTTTGTTTTCACGCGAAAAACCCATTTTCCCGTGAGGATGGTCTTGTTGCGTACCACTCCGATAGGCACGACTTTCCAGGTGTTGCGTTCTTGCAGCGCCTTTAACTCTCTGTCCATGGCTTCGCGCCATTTTTCCCTGTGTTCCCCTCCCAGAGCCTGCGGAATGTTGGCAGGCTCCTTAGGAGGTGCTGTTCCGTGGACAGCGGTGACGAGTCCCAGTATCTGCAGTCCACTCTGTGTGTAGCGGGGGAGATTTGTGTCCTCAGGATAAGCTGCTTCATCTCCCGCTTCTGGATCCGGTAGGAAATTTGGTCCTGTGCGCTCGGAGACGTTGGTGTCGACTGGTTGGGGTGTAACGTAACCGGTGTCGGCGAAGTCGAAGTAGGTTTCTGCGTTGACACTTTCGCGAGGGTTGTCGTCATCCATGGGGATGTCCACAGAGCAGTACGGAAGAGGTCCGGCTTCTTCCGAAGCTCCGTCCACGTTCTGCTCGTCCTAGTCAGCTTCGTCTGCTGCTGAGGCAAAAGCTCGGTTGCCACAGAAGCCGCCCGTGAGGTCTCGATTTGCTGCCAGGTTGTCCAGGTACGTTTGAAGTGGGAGTCGCTCGTAGAAAATGACATCACGTGCTGCTACTGTTTCCTTCGAGTGGATGTCGAAAATCTTCCATGCGTTGTAATGCTTTTCGATGCCCAGGTGTAGCCCCCACTGTGCGCGTTGGGAAAATCTTCCGGCTCTCGCAGTGTGCGGTCGGTATTGTACCATGCACCCAAAAACTCGTAACATTTTTGTGTTGCCCAATTTTCCTGTCCACAGCAGGTGCGGTGATGCGTTGTTCGGGAGCGATGATGACGAGAGCAGGTTGTGCAGCATGACAGCGTGGTCCGTCGCATCAGGCCACTGGTGGTTGGGCAGTCGCATGCCACGCAATAGTTTGCGCATGGTGTTCTTGAGAGTTCTGTTCATCCGTTCTGCCACGCCTTCCCGCCGCCCCTTCACTCCTGGCCGTAGCAGGTCTTGACCCGCTTGACTACTCCGCTGAGTTCGGAGCAGTGCAGGTACTGCTGACGGGGCAGTTTCTTCGTGAGGAAATCTGCTGCCACGTCACCCGTCGGGCAGTAGGTTAAGTCAACCTTGCCCTTGTCAACTTCGTCCTTGACGAAGAAGTACCGCAGTGCGATGTGCTTGGTGCGGTTGACGAAACCAGACTTGTTCGCGATTCTTATCGCACTCTGATTGTCGCAGTGCAGGCGAAAGTTCGCCGAGGCCGGAATTTTCGCCTCCTGTAGCAGCTCCTGAAGGTAGAGCCCTTCGCGAACAGCTGCTGTTGCTGCGATGAACTCCGTTTCTGCCGATGACAGGGCAACCAGCTCCTGCTTTTGTGAGTTCCAGGAGATGGGGCCGCTGGGCTCGAGGCGGAAGAGGAAACCTGTCCTGTACCGTCGATTGTCGGGATCGGCGGCATGATCAGCGTCCACGTAGCCGATGAGACTGAAAGATGCGGTTGGGGTGGTGGAGTAGCAGAGCCCAACATTGGGCGTGGAGATGAAGAATTGAAGTGCTCGCTGAAGATCTGAGAGATTCTCAGCCGTTGGTTTGCGTGAGTACTGGGCCAGCTGACTTGCAATGTAGGATAGGTCTGGCCTACAGGTGACTGAGGCAAAGAGCAGGCATCCCAACTGCTGTTGATAAGTCTAAAGCCCAGCTGGGGATATGGTTTTGTTGTCAGGCTTGTGGTTGGGTCCTGGAGTGCGGTAAGGGGTGGAGAGCGGTGCAGGTTTAATGTTGAAGCGCTTGCCAAGTTCCTCTGCGTACTTGGCTGCTGAAAGGTGAATGGCTTCCGGCGAGTAGGTGATGTTGAGGCCGAGGAACTGCTTCACGTCGTGGTTGCAGGTGATGTCGACGCGCCCGGCGAGGTTTTTCTCGAACTGCTCGAGTAACTCGGGGCTTGACCCTGTGTAAAGCAGATCATCGACGTAAACCGTGAGTAGGATGTATTCGCCGCGGAAGTCGCGGCAATACATCCCTGGATCGTGAGGCAGCTGCTTGAACCCGATTTCAAGCAGGATGTTGTGCAGATACTGCTGCCAGAGTCTCGGCGCTTGTTTAATCCCGTAAAGGGATTTTCGTAGCTGGCAGACACGTGGGTCCCCGTCGTCGTACGTGTGCGGCTGCTCCACGTAGATCACTGCATCTACTAACGCGTACAGGAACGTGTTCTTCACATCAATCTGCCGGAGCGGTAGGTGTCCTGCGGCAGCAATGGCGAGGAGGATTCTGACGGATGTGTGACGGCTGACCGGTGCGAATGTCTGGTCGAAGTCAATGCCGTGCCTCTGATCGTAGCCGCGCACTACCCAGCGTGCCTTGAATCGTTCGATCGTCCCGTCAGCTGCGGTCTTCACGCGGAAGACCCATTTGCCGGAGAGGATCCTTCTCCCCTTCACTGCTGCACGGTCGACGAGTACCCAGGTGTCGCGTGACTCGAGTGCCCTTATCTCCGCATCCATTGCCTCACACCACTCCTTGCTGTGGGGTCCCGTGAGTGCTTGCCGTGGGTTTTTAGGCTCGATGATGTGCGGCGTCGTTGAGGTGGCAGCGTGGAGCCCGAGGAGTTGCATTCCGGTGACGGTGCTGTCGTGGCGATGCTGCGGGACGACCTCCTGCACATCGTCGTCGTCGCTTTCTGGCTCTGGTGGGGCTGGTGGTGCTGTGCTTCCGCCGCTTTCGCTTCCTCCGGTTGCGCCTCCTGCTGTGCCCGCTCCTCCTTCTCCTGAATTATCGTCGTCGTCGGCGTCGTGACAATCGCCTCTCGTGAACTCGCCTCTGGGGTCTTGCTCCAGAATGGCCGCGGCAGCTTCGTCTTCTGGCGTGGCGTAGCTGTGACCGTCGTTGGCGTAGACGCGTTTCGCGTTCGTCTGCTCGTCTTCGCGAAATTGCTGGAGGAAGAGGTGCTCGTAGAAGATGACGTCGCGCGCATGCTTGATTTTCTGGCTCAGGAGGTCCAGAATGATCCACGCCTTTTACTCGTGGCTGATGCCGAGGTGGATCCCCTAGCGTGCGCGGTTCTTGAATTTGCCGATGGTTGATGTTGGCGGGCGGTACTGAACCATGCATCCCCACACACGGAGCATGGAGGTATCACCCTTAGTGCCCGTCCACTTCACGTGAGGGGATAGGTTGCCGGTGATTGCGGTGGTTGAGAGCAGGTTGTGCACCCGCACGGCGTGGTGCATCGCGTACGTCCAGTAGATTGGAGGAAGCTTCGACTGCTTCATCAGCGCGCGCACCTTCGTCATGAGCGTGCGATTGGTGCGCTCGGCTACGCCCTGCTGCTGATGCGCATAGGGGAGAGAAATGTGATGCTCAATCCCCTTTTGCGCAAGGTAATCCTGCGGCTCCTTGCTCCTGAACTCCGCTGCTCCATCAGACTGCCAGACCTTCAGCTTCTCCCCGGATTGCCGCTGTGCGTGCGCCAGCCACAGGCGGAATGCTTCGTACGCTCTGCTGCGTGCTTCTACGTTCACGACCCATACGTAGCGCGTTCCGGCATCGATGAAGGTGAGCGTGTACAACTCATCGTCGATGCCGCAATGTCCCACGTTGAGGAAGTCACTGTAGCTTAGCGTAGCGGTTGGTTCCTGGCTCGAGTAGAGGGAAAGGCTGGTGACTCAGTGCGGCCTCGGGGCAGATGGTGCAGGTGCGCGGGTGTGTTCCGCCTCTTACTTCGGAGCCGTCAGGGTGCGGGAGTGTGCCTGGTGCGAATACGCCAGCCTTGATGCAGTTCTCAAGTGTGACGCGCGAGGGGTGACCAAGGCGCTGATGCCAGAGCGCATCGTCGGCGCGGAATCCAGAGGTGCGCATGTAGCGCGCGCGTGCTTCTATGAGATCCTCGTCAGGTGCTTGAACAGGTGCTGCCACTGCTTCCTCATCTTCTTCTCCTTCTTCGTTCGAAGTCGTTAGCATCAGGGCGAGGAATTCCCTGTCGCGGATGATGGAATAGGGGATGTTAGTCCCTGGGATTGTTCCGAGGACTAATATCGGCTCGCGCAGCTCGGGAGCAGGTCCGTAGACGGTGCGTCGCGGAGTGGATGGTTCGTTGCCCCAATCGATGGTTCCCCAAGGATCGCGCTCCGGCTGGAGGTCAGGTGGAGGTAAGGCAGGTGCGAAGTGGCGCGGTGGGCGACCAAGAGGAACAATTGCAGGTGCTGCTGCTTCTTCGGCTGCTTCTTCTTCCCCCCCTTGGTCCTCGCAGGAAGCTCCCCAGCCTTCGCCAGAGGTGCCTCAACCCCCGGTTTCGCCGCCAGATGCGGCGCCCCATCCTCCAGTGGTGTCGGTGTTTGCTGCTCCCCATCCACCAGTGTTGCCGCCAGTTGCGGCGCCCCATCCGCCCGTGTCGCTCGTTCCCCATCCGCTGGTGCTCCCCCACCCCCCTTCATTGGAAGCACTGTCCTCCTCATTCTCCCAGGCGAGCGTTCCGCGCGCCTCGGCGACGCTTTTCTGACGAAGCTCCTCAGCTTCGCGTCGCGCCAATGCCTCTTCTTCCGCCACCGAGAGTTTCTTCTTCGAGTCGTGCCGGTGAGAGTATTTCCCAGCCGCCTTTTCCTTGGTGTAGGGTCGCGGCGTGCCGTGCGCATCGAAGGTGCCGACGCCAATGCCGCGAAGCATCCCTTGGAGATGTTTTTTTTTTTTTTTTTTTTTTGGTGGATAAAAGTATACTACACGCATACAACCATCCGCAGTCGTAACTGTTGCCTTGGAGATGCTGAGATGCGGGTCCAGGGAGTGGGTGTTCCGGTGTGCCGAAGATAACGCGTGTCGCAGTTTCCAACTCCAAATTGGACAGTCCTTCCTCAGGCGGTGCGTCGCGTTCTGCTTCGATGATGGCGGCAAGGCCGCGGCCCGCAATTGCGCTCGTCGAGGATGTGGGCGTGTGGCAGTCCTGCAGATACCGTCTGGGTCAGGGTCATGTAGTGCCAGCTCGCGCGGATGTGGGTGATGCGGTACCCATGGGCGCCCATCAGGGTGCTTCCAGTCGCGGCGATGAATGTGTTCGAAGCGCAGGGGGACAAGGTCAATCAGCTCATGCGAATCGCCGCTGCAGTCGGTAATGTCAAAGTCAAGAACGTACACTTCGTTCTCCGCGTGTGCTCGTCCGATCTGCTTGCGTATCTTGTTCGGCATCGTGAAGTGAAGCAGTGAAAGGGACGTTGGAATATTCGAGGGGGGTTTACCCCAGCAGAGAAGAGTTTCAGGTCAGGTACCGTGAGCCTTGAGAATGCGCAGGACCTTGCTGCCAGTGACGCCCGACACCTGCGCGATACCGTGCGAGTCCCTCAGAATGACGCCGATCTGCGACGGCGTCAGACCCTTCTTCGCGAGCTTGCAGATGTGCTCGTCGACCTGCCATCAATCAGTGGACAAAAAGTGCAGAATGAATGAGCTGGACGTAAAGCGTGGCTCGAAGAATCAATTCTTTCGTCGCGAATTTGCGGATGTGCTAGGTCGTATGAGCGTGCCGGCCGACTTTGTTTTCCATGCCGACGCGAAGCCTTAACGAAAGTAAAGCGTCGGGCACTGTGTCTTTCCGAAAGGGGTATTGTATGCACATTGCCAAAAACGTAAGAATCTAGACACAGAAGCTCGTCCTTAGAGCTCACGCAGGTACGCTGATTCGGGGTTTCTGGGATGATTTCCGATGGGTGGTCAAAAAGTAAGGATCTACGTTAAGTGAGAGAACGAACGTGCCTCGGGGGCGGAGATCTTCAACCAGCTCGGAGGAGTGCGTTTGTAGGGCAGGGCGGAGCGCGAAATACCCTTTCTGCATCAACCAAGTAAGGCGCGACAGAAAAAAAAATCGCGAACTACGCGCGTCAGCGTTCCCTCCGACAAAGCAAGGAACAGCAGCGCGAGGAAAATAAACTGACCCGTGACTGTGCATACGACCCATGGCGGCGGCTGTTTAGGGGACTGCCCACAAGGCGAGGAAGACGTGAGAGATGGAACTACGGGAAAGGGAAAAGCCCGTAGCTGTTGGAGCCAAAATAGGTGTTGCAGGTTCTGAAGGACAGCCACAGAAGGACTGCTACGGGGGGCAGGAAGGGTTTGAGAACGAGAGGAAGAGAAGGGGAATCGGACATGAAAAGCCTGATCCAACGGACACCGTTTCTGCCTGTGGGGGGGAGAGGGTTTATATGACAAGTAAATTCATTTGTCACGATACCGTGTACCGTTTACAGTTTTAGGGTCGGGAAAATATGCCGTTCGTAACCATCATGGGACTCGAAAACATTTTTGGTAAAAAAATAAAGGGTACGGTCACTGCAAAGGGTGTTTTCACGCGACTGATAAAGCGTTTCACGGAATCAGTCACAATCAGCTGGTAAAAAAAAACGCGAATGGTCACAGATGAAACTCCCGCCAAAAACAAAATGAAACCCAGAAAGAATCTGGATGCATTTTCGGATGATCAACCCTAAACACGTAACTCGCCAGGTGTTTAGGGTTGATCCGTTCCCAAACCGCATCCGATTCCGATTGGGTTTTAGTTTTTTTACAAGTTCGCAGATTGGTTGGGCGCGAGCGCGAATTTTGTTGAGTTTCAAGTTTTTTTGGCGGGAGTTACATGTGTGACCATTCGCGTGATTTTTTACCTGTTGTTAGTGACTGAATCCGTGACCCCGCTTACCAAACCCGTCAGAAAACCCGATACAGTGACCGTACGCGTTTTTTTTTTACCATTCACGTTATCGAGTTCCAAGTTGGTTACTTGTGGCATATTTTCCCTTTAGGGTCACAGCTACTTCGCAGAATGTAAACGGTATCAACTAACACATATACAAAATACATCTCACATAGCACATCATTGCAAATGACGGTTCCAATGTTGAAGCAAATTGTTGGGCTGAGAAATAGCCCTTAGGATCTTTCAAGGCTGAGACTTTGTTGAAGTAGTGATGTTGTAGTTGCGGAAGCGTAATAGTAGTATTAACTTGAACCACCTTGCACTGGTATGTGAGAACAAGATTAGTTGATAATAGCATGGGCATACAAGGCTTTTATATGATTACAAAGGAATATGGAAAGTTCTATTTTAACTGTTTCTGCTGTTGCGGTTCGATACAGTGACGACTCGGGTAATTGCTCAGTATCGAGTCAGTTATGTGTCCTTGCTGTCGCACAGCATTTTTCGTCAGGTCAAAGGTCAGTGACCTTTGACCTTCGCGTAACCTCCAGCGTTTGTCTTTAGTTGACTCGCGTGTTGTTTCGCTTGTAGTCTGCTTCGTTTCGTGTCGATGCTTCGATTACTTCAGAAACGTTTAAGTTATTTGTTTCCAACACTCCCCTTCGCTTCTAGAGTGTCGCTGCTGATGACGTGTCCTTGTACAGTCAGCAGCATGCAGTAGTCGAACTTCTGTTTTCCGAGTTTCTTGGTTAGGTAATCGGCTGCCATCTCGGATGTGGGGCAGTAGGATAACTCGAGTCTTCCCTTCTCGATTTCGTCTTTTACGAAGAAGTACCGGAGGGCGATGTGCTTCGTTCGGTTCGCAAACCCATTTTTGTTCGCTATGCGAATGGCCGATTGATTGTCGCAGAAGAGAGAGAAGCTGGGTAACTGAGCCAATTTTGCTTCTTCCAGCAATTCGCGAAGATATAGTCCTTCCTTGGTGGCTGAGCAGAGTGCGATGTATTCTGCTTCAGCTGAGGAGAGAGCAATTAGCTCTTGCTTGTTCGACTGCCATGAGATAGGGCCGATAGGTTCGAGTCGGTAGATGTAGCCAGTTCGAGATCGTCTGTTGTCGGAGTCTCCAGCGTGATCGGCGTCGACGTAACCGATTAACTTAGGTGTCGTAGTTCGGGTCTTGTGGTAGGTTAATCCGGTCGTCGGGGTGCTGACGAGGTTGTGAAGTGCACGGTCGAGCTCCAGCATGTGCTCTGCTTCAGGCTTCTTGAGGTAGGTAGCAAGTTGACTAGCTGAGTAAGATAGATCCGGTCGGCAGGTGACGGCTGCGAAGAGTAGACAGCCTAACTTCCGTTGGTAGTCGCGAATGCCGGCGGGTTTGAGTAGGGCGGAGACTTTGCGATTTCCGTCGGTGTAGCGGTATGGCGTGGTGATGGTAGTTGGAGTGAGTCCGAATCGTTTAGCGATGGTGCCCGTGTACTTTTCGGCATTGAGGTAGATTGAGTTGTCGCCGTCTTGTATGTTGAGTCCCAAGTACTGTGTCACGGTAGTCGCGACGGTGAGTGTGAGATCCCGCTGTAGCTCCCCTTCAAACCAGGTCGTTATGGTGTCGATGGAGCCTATGTAGAGGAGGTCGTATACGTAGACGATGAGTAGGATATAATCAGTACCCTTCGTGAGTCGGTACATCCCTTGGTCGTGCGGTAGTTGGAGGAATCCGATGCGGATTATGTGAATTAAGAAAAACAGGAATGAGAATGACTAAGTGAAAGTTGGGTACAAGAAGCAAACCCTAGAAAACTGTACCCCATATGTGCTACCCCACTCTAGCCTACAGTAGCTATGTCATATAAATCTGACACACCCCCATAGGCAAAGTGGGGGAGAACAAGGGGTCACAAGACCAGTCAAGCAAAGCAAAGCAAAAAACAAGCTCAGGGTGGATCACAAAGTCACCACACATTCCGAGCACAAGTTCAAGGCCACAAGACCAGTTCACAAGCAGGAGTACACATATATATAAAAAAAGGCTAGACAAACAAGAGCAGGTATATATATATGTAACAGTACAAGCAAGGTCAAGAGGTGAGCAAGTGAGGCAAGGTAGGCACAAGGCCCAGCTGAGTACAGAAGCGCTGATGGTCACAAGGCGCAAGTGCCTTGGTGACGATATCAGCAGTGTTGGCCTCAGAGGCCACGTACGCAAGACGCAGCTGACCGCGCTGCTGCAGCTCACGAGCAAGAAAGTAGCGGAGAGCAATGTGCTTCGTTCTGTGCTCCAGTC